TTTGTTTCTTCTTTGATTCACTGTCTATATTTTTTCCTACATAGATGCTACCATTAGCACCTTGGAAGATGGTATATTCTTTTGATGAAAGAGGACGGCCACTTTCATCTCTTAAACTTTGAAACAGGTGATCCTGTAGTTCATCGACTTTCTTCTTGTAATAGGCATTTTCAGCCAAGAGTTTTTGCCTTTGCTTGATAATTTCCTCCTTTTTCTTTCTCATACTTTGAATATCATCTTCTATGTCACTGACAACATCAATCTTTCTTTTGCGACACAAGCGTGCAGCAACCTTGTTCTTTCCTCTTCTACGTATGTCTCTGGCCTTCTGCGCCTCAGGTTCTGAAAGTGTTTCCAAAAAGCTGCCAAATTCATTAATACTCATGTCAACTATTTCATCTTCTGATGCTGGAAAGTGTGATGCCCCAGCTGCAGCTATAGCTGGGCGTGCCCCATTAAAATCCTTGGGAGCAGTTGAAGGCGTAAACCTGGTAGATGTGCTTACTGGCACACTTGGAACTCTTACAATCTCAGGTTTCTCTTGTTTGATGTTTGCACCGGGTAAGAGTGGGAAAGAGTGACTCTGCCAGTCTCTGGTAGCTTGAGGAAGCAAGGATTCTGAAAAGATAAAAGCAACTTGTTAAAATACTAATAGAACAGTGATATCTACCACTATTAACATTTCTTGACCCAATGTAAAAATCTTTAAGGCCACACCCCAACTCAAAGGCCCCTGCAAAGATTTAACTCAACACTGAATTTCCTTTTCGAAAGAGGACGTAGCAATTGCTCGAATTTTCAATACAATAGTCGCATATGACGTACGGGAAGATAAAGCGGTGAGGCGTGAGCGACAGCTTAAAGGAAACTGAGAGCACAATATTGGTCGTTTTTTTACATCGATTTGCTGATTAAATCAACTGGATGCAAATCACGAAATTTGGCCCAAAATTAATATTTAACAAAGGAAAAAGCAACTGTTTCCAAGGAAATAAACAAATATTTAGAAACTCCCATCAAGAACAAACCAAGATAATCAATTATGGTAGCTCGAGTAAAAGAAATTTGTTATTCAAATAAACAGTCACAAAACCGAAAACGGAATTCTGTGGAACTTTAAAGAACTTGCGCTCGTGAGATAATGCGGTGCATGTGAATATTATACGTGTGAAAAAGCACTTTAGCTGGTAACTTAATATTACTGAGGAAAAACGTACCAGTTGAAGGAAATCCGCTATCATTTCTCGTTGCGGTGGCCTCTGAAAATATTGGCACCGGTTCTTGACCGAGGGGAAGCAGGCTATCATGTTTATTTTCGATCGCTTGTTGCCCCGTTGGTTTTGGGTCGAATATGTCGAGAGGAAGATCATCTAGATTGACTGCAAACGAGTCCAGGTCAAACACAGGGTCTGTGTTAGGTCCCACTTCTTGCAGTTCTTCTTCTGTTGGCGCAAAATCAATAGAGAACGGGTCAGCGTTGAAGAACTGTTCCTCAAAGTTGAAGGTTTCTTCAAAGGGATTCTTTCGGTTGGGATCGGAGGGCGAGTGAAACTCTTGCGGAGAGTTGGGGAACTTTCTGTAAGAATCATCAGGGCTCGGCAACGGTTCGGTTTTAATCTTTGGGTAAGGTAGTTCTTCTGGCAAAAACGCTGCTTTTTTCTGAGGTGGTTCCTCGTAGATGGCGTCGAGATCGATATAATCCTCGAGTTGAAAGTCGATGGACTTCAGAAGGTCTTCTTCGGTCGGAGTGAAGCCAGCGGCACCGAAGTAATCTGCTTCAGGGGCCTGTGTGTTTGTATAACTAGCTTCGTGTTGTGGTGAGCCACCAACAGAGGAAATAGCTGAAGGCGAACGACCGCCATCGGAGCTATAACCGCTCTCTAACTCCGTACTAAACGAAGCTCTCGTTTCTCTTGGGGCGGTATGGGTTTCCCCGTTGAAAAGCATGGCAACTGCATCTGTGTCAAACTGATTGTTACCACTTGTGTGCCAATCCAGAAACTCATTTAGGGGGTGTTGAACATTACTTTCTTTAGGTGCCAAGTTGAAGTTGAAGTTAGTAGTGCTGGGAACATGATTGTACGGGACTACACCAGTTAAATTCTGTGGGTATCCCATGTTCACAGGCATCGGCGGAGTTGTGTTCTGACCAACAAATCCTTGAAGCTCAGGTCTCATCAGAGACAACGCCATAGCAAGTTGAACAAATGTTGTGCCATCGAGGTATTTCTTTCCAACTGCCATGATTCTTTCAACACTAAGGAAAGATGGAGTAAATCACTAAAGTTTCTCGAAGTTGCTTTTTCAAACGCCTCTATTCGCCTCTAGTGATCAAGTGTTCGACTAATGTTCCTCTCACAATCGAATGAATTCCTCGCAGTCAAGGCTCGATTTACGTAATTAGTTGAGGGAGGGAAAAACTTTCAACTTTAGAATACCACCGAAGTTCAATGAGCTCTCTATCTCGTGATCCTTTATGAAAAAAGCTGAGTCACTCTGTTTTTATAGTTGACGAATTATTTTTGTACAGATGATGTCAGATTATTAAAAATACAAAACAATCAAAATAACCAATGAACAGTGGCGAAAGTTCGCGTGCTGCAGATATGATTTAAATGTTGATTGGTTTATATCCATTGACGTCAATATGACGCACTTTTCTAGGCACTTGTCACGCAAAGGCCTCGTCTTGATGTAGAGCCTTTCCAAGGCCCACTGTATGTTCAGGCGGCCAGCGGAGTAAAGTATAAAGATAACCATACAAGATGGCGGACAGGGGAGAGCAACGATTTACAGAAGCTGAAAAGAGACAAATAGAAATTTGGAATAGACAGTTCATGCAAAAAAAGTACCTAGCACAGATCAGGAGAAGAAATATGATGGTATTCGGAGGTCTTTTAACGTCTGTTGCTGCCATTTGTATCCTTTTACAGGCTAACCCTGTAACTATTGCATCACTGCACTAAATCTCTAATTTCTAATTTAAATCTCTAATTTTAAGTTTTACCTGCCAACATACAGCAGCAATTTTTAGCAAGAGAGTTTGATTATTAAGTTTACTATTGCTATAATTTTTAAAGTGCGTTAAGACCGAATTTCAAACATCGCCTTCCGTGCATGCAAACGCACACGTGGACAGATCTGTCTTACATTTTATACCTCACATGCAAGGACAGTAAGATGATATTTACTTCACATGCAGTAAGGTTATATCGTAACGCCGGTATCTGAATAACCTCTTATATTGGTTCCTTCCTCGTAGATACCCCAGTGTTACTCACAATAGATTTATTGACGCAAATGGAAATAATGATATTGAACTGTACTGTTTGAGCGTTGTTTATTATCATTCGTGCATAAAACATATTGTAGTCGCTTTCCTCCTTCCTCGACAGTCAATCCAGACAGTAGATTCCGTTACCTCTTGGCACGAAACGTGGTCATGCCTCTTCGTTCCTCTCGAAAAGTCCAAAAATTCAATCGCATTTTGCACGAAGCGAATTTATCTCATTAACATCGAGATACGGTTCATAGATCACCTTGACTAATATTTGTTTGAACGCTACATGCATACATGTACGCAGACAGCCGTTTTGTTTAGTGCTTTAATGACTGCACTTACAAGTGGGTCTATGAATGTAGTCGGTTAATTAATGTTACTTGTGACATATGTCTGCTCACCAAACTGGAACTGTGTAGAGCCGGAAAAAAAGTTATCAGTCCCATTCTTTCTTTTGTGTGGGTAGCTTGTTATATAATGTTGTCGATCAATGGAGGCAATGTTATGATTTATCATCAATCAAACAGGTTTTAGCATCAACAAAACAGGGCGTTCATGAGGTAGTTGGGTGTTTCTGATAAAGTAACCGTCAAATTCTAGAACCCTCTTGAAAGCTAAAAATACATGGAGACAGTATATTGGTAGATGCCTCCGAAGGCAATTAAATAGTTTAACTCCTCTTCTTTCATTCACTAGAGTTGTTTGTTAGATTAATTGTTAACAGTATTATAATAACAAAGGCATTCTTTTCTTTGCCATTTTTATTTTCATGTGAAAGCACTTTGTTTGTTATCAGTATTTTGACCCCTGGGTGAATTGTTAGGAAGTGGTTTTCAGTGAAATTTGTCTATGCACATGTTTTTGCCACAAGGATTCTTCATACTTATTTCCATTACAGTTCACATGTGTGATGTAAGTCTAGTTGATTTTATTGTCCATCTTTGTATTGAAAAACAAAATGTAGAGAAGAAGAGGAGGAACTGTAGGAAAAAACATTTCTGATTAATTACCATAGTTAATGAACATCCAAATGCCAAATGTCTACAGGAACAACTTGGCTGTGCGTTTGTTATGTCAATATTTATGATTCATAACTGGAACAAAATGTAAAATTCAACTTTCTTGTTTTGCAGACGTTTTGAAATGTGGCTTGGGTGGGATCCATCAATTGGGCAAGAAAAATTGTTACCAGTGTAATAAAAACTACTTGCCCCAGACAGCTGTTGTGGGTTTTAATAGACTAGTGGTTTGGTTTTCAAAGTATAATTACTGACAGTACTGTTGAGCACCTCCTTAAAAACAACAATTCTTTATGATTTTTACAACTGCACCAGGAATTTTCAAGTGATTTGTGACAGAAGTATTGCTACAAATCTGTTGAACCTTGCTATTTTATCACTGTAATACTGGAACATAGTTCCTTTTATAATGTTTGTGTCAGGGTTAGGTGACCAAAAATATTTTTATGGCAACCATTTTATAATTAAAGGTCCCCAAGAGGCAGCTTTTTAAAAAATTGAACTTGGAGTCATGATGTAAATGTCAAACAATTCCTTGTAAATGAAAGGGATAGTTTGCTGTCATTTGAGGATAGCACCTCCAAGTGATGCCTGTCTGGCCTCAAAACCTGTTTGCAAATCTCAAGAGGTTACAAGTTAGTCACATTAACTGAGACTCTCATGGCTTGATAACTGCTGCTGTATTTACTGGCTTCCACCACTAATTACTGCAGTTAAGTTCACTTTGTTGAAATACTTAACTTGTTGTAGATGGATACACACTTTTGGCAACTAAACAGGAACACCTGGACTTTGAGGAATAACAGTTATGGATTCTGTAAAAAAGGGAACAGTCATTGTGTAATGTGTGTTCATGAACAAGAGACTTGGAAGGATTCTTAAACTTGATGCAAAGGCAGGCCTTTGTGGTTGTGTAAAGCTGAGAAAGAGTAACATGTCCATGCAAAATTTAACTTAATTGAAGAGAAGTTGTTAACTCATTGGCCATGTTGAAGATATGTTGATTTAATTATTATTACAGTCTTGATAGTAACCCATATTTATTACCCTCCTTAAATACAATGTTAATTGTTATAAAAGCAACAAACAAGTTGAGGATGATGAAGAAAATTTGATGGCAGTTACGATTGCAGCTATGTTGTGATGGTTTGTTAGCTTGTGTGTTGGGCAAAACTGTTATGTAGCATTTTATAAGATATACTGAAGACCAAGAAGGGAGATAAAAGAATGGAGGATGTTGTGAATGATGAACTTGAGTGGGCAGACATAATTAAGTGTAAAAGGAACTGAGGCCTTTCACTCCCAAGATCTCATTAGTATTTCCGTTACTGTCTGCCATTTAATTCTTGTGATGTAAGTTGGGTGAATTTGGTACTGGATCAACTAAGAATCTCCTAATTGATTATTTTCTTTATTTTTTTAACCTGTCTACTTCGGATTGTTTTCATATTGTGAGGAAAAATTCTGTCTTGGTCACTTATGGGAGTTAGTCATGCTTGAATTATTGGTGAAGAGCTTGTCATACTGGCTCTGGTTGTTCAAAGGGGCGGATGATGCTATTCAACGGATAAATCATTTTTCAGTAAATGAGTATTAACAAAACATACTGTGCTATCCACTGGATAGCAACTTATCAAGTGGATTGCATTACCTGCAACCACATGAAGAAGAAGGACCACATGCTGAGATTAAAAGAAAAACCAAAAAAAGCAGGAAAAACGTGCATGGCTCATTGTTGTTGAACGTAATTTTACATGACACCTTGATGATAGTCATTAAACTATTTTTAACAGTGATGCAGGAAGTAATTCTTATTGTTGAGGAAACTGGAACAATGGGCTCTGCCTACTACGGTTGATCCATATCACAGCAAAATGCTGTGCAGTAATTTGTGTTAAGTGACTTGTAGTTATGAATTTAGAAATCTTAAAGCTTGACTCCTTACTTCCATTAAATACTGGAGAGCAAAATCAAACTTTACAATGGAGAACATCACAACATATATGGCAATAGTGCTTTATTAATAGTTGCTCTGGTATACAAATCACCTTGATGCACAAAATCTTTTTAAAAAACAAGAACTGAGTCTTTAAAGGAAAAATATACAAATTTATGAACCATTCTTTCTTTGTTAGATGTGCAAACTGCAGTGTGCTTTCTTGCATACAAATACTTTTTCTTTGCTATATGAAAACCAATATCTAACGCTTACCTGTTCACTCACAATACAGGCTTTTTACATGAGCCACACAAACAATATCCCAAGGAGAAAAAGCAAATTACCGGTAAATCAATCTACTGAAATTTTCCCTCAAAAAAAGCGGGTTGTATATACAGTCCTAAGGGAGAAGTGAATTTAACAGCGAAGGTTTACAGGTCATCAACTACAACATTAGGATGAACGACTAGGAATGGATCTTCTTCTTCAGATGGCACATAGTCTTCCTGTGATGTTCCCCATTCTTTTAGTGCTAAAATAACATTGTCCTAGAAGAAAGAAGTTAACTTTGTTTAAATGAATATGTCCTTCCTAATCTCAATTCTTGACTTGTTGAAAGCAAATAAATGATGTGCTAGGGTTCAAGATTGAAAGCAGCTGAAATGCCGCCTGAAAAATTTTTGAAAAAAGATTTTGTTTGAATAGTTAGTAATAATTGAGTTGTAAGCAGAGCAAAGTCTTAACCCTTTAACTCTAAAAGTGATGAATATGTAACCTCTCCCTAAAATATTCATACATTATCCAGCATGCAGGTAATGAGAATATTGAAACTTATCAGGTAGAAGTTGTTATATTCATCTTACTCCAAATTCTTGTAACTAATTTACAAGGAAACGTGTAGCAGCCAGAAAGGAGAATTAACAATCCAATCTTGGGAGTTAAAGTCTTCATATCTTATTGTTTAGTCTTTTTGCTGAGTGGCATATGTTTAAGAATTGAACTTTTTGAAATTGTTCCAACTGTGATCAAAATCACCCTCCTGGCACTTGTGTAGAAATGGAAATTTTGGTAATCATTTATAAGTACAAAGATCCTTCACTGTTTTCTGTCTCTGGCAACAATTTTGTTTACATTCCAGTCACACTGAGAATCTTGATTATTTTATCGTTTTCAATCTCTTTCTTCTCATTGAAAAACCTGTCACCCATTCCAATTAAATACTTTAGTCTACTTTACCACAAAGATTGAGTTTGTACAATCCACATCAGGTCGCCTTTCACATTAAAATGGAAAGACCCATTAGTTTCAATTTGCATTTGACTCTGAGGGTCTATCTACACTAACAAAACAGTTGTTTTTGTAGAAAATTTTTCTGTCATCACCAATTCTTTACAAGTCTGAATGATTTGTCAACAAAATCTGTGGTAAGTAAAAGCTGGACAAAATCAGCTAAATAGACAAAAATACTTTGTTTCAATTTTATCAATTCCCCACTCATGCAGATGGGCCTTAGGGCATTTTTAAATTCAAATGATCTTGCATCAGACAGATCAACTGTTGTCTAATGCCTATTTTTGGTAAATCACAGTGCTTATTATTTTAAATTCCGCATAGTCACCAAATTAACAGAATTTTGTAACAAGAACAGTAATTACCAGTATTTATAAAAAATATCTAGAAATTTTTAAAGAATGAAGAACCTTTTGGAGAAAGGCCACCATTTTCTTATCCTAGGATATTGATTTAACATGACAATGTTGACAGTTTGAATTTTTTGAATGACATCAAAAGAAATATTGAAACATTGATGACTGCAGTATATACTTTTTTGTCAAAATCATTCTAAAAAATGGTTATTAAAAGCAATTTCTACTCACCGATATGATCAGCCTGTCAAGAACCTTATCAAGAATTACTTTCTTTTCAGCCAACTCCTCTTCAGTGTCAATGTCTTTCTCAATTGTTTTGAGATACCAGTTAACAACAGCACTTCTACGGATCCCAGTGTCATCTGTTCAGGGAGAAGGAATTTTGTTGATATTTTCCAAATTTCTCACTATACAGGTTTTATATAAGGTTGGGACACATCAGCTGATATTTCTAGTCTGATTTCAATGAAAGGGAAACAACACTAACTTATTTGCATTTGGATTTGAAAGAGGTTAATGCATGCAGCATTTTTAAGCCTCATTTTGTGAATTGAGAACAAATTTATAAAAACATAAAATAATATAACATGTAAAACCAGCCAAACTTTTGTGCTGCTTGGAAGTATATAGCCTGTGAGAAGACCCTCAACATAAGCACCGTGGCAAAAGTCTTTATTCACCCACAAGAAAGTTTAAGGCCTCAGGCAAATTGAGATAGCAAGAGGCTTGGAAGGGATCTGGCACAAATAATGACACATCACCAACCACCTGCTGACTTAATTTGGTTTAGGCCTTGACTCTTTACACTCTAACATCAGTATGCAACTTCTCCACACTAACTCCTACACATACACTACGGCACTCACATGGAGAATTTGCACCAACAATCGACAGCTTTTTTAGTTTTTGATCATTTTCTTTATTCTCATGACCTTAAATGTTTGATTCAGGTGTGATACTGTTGGGAGGAATTAGATGCTTATCCTCCTTGGGGTTTAAGGGCTGACCCTGCTAATAGGGGCAAAGAAACACTTGTGCTTCAATGCTTATGATGAGGGCCAGCTCAGAAGTTAGGAAGCTCATGACTTGCCTTCACCTCCTCGCTCCTCTTCAGCCCTTAAGTACCCTGCTACACTCCTTGCCATTGATCTGTAATCCTCAAATGAAAGGCGCAGTTTGCTTTTAGCTTTCTGGTCACTCTCTGTCCTATCGGCATCTTTTTCTGTATGGCCATTTACCATTCCACTTGGATGAGCTTCACTCTCCCCATCCACATCCATATCTACAAGAAATAATAGGAATAAAAGTTTTAAAACATTAGATTTTGGAAGAAAAATGGAACATATTTGTACAGGCTGAGAGCTATGTATGAGTTCCACTCTCCCCCTACCTGAGAGGAGTTGAACTCCATGCTGCTCCTAAGATTTTGCAAATATATGCTATATACTCCCTTATCTCTCCCCTCAGGGGAAGGGTGGAAGGGGCGGCAGTCAATGGCCCTTTTACCCTGACCTGCCTAAAAGAAAAATCTGTACATCTTCATTTGATACTCTGTTTATAGCACAACTATATAAATTGCCGCTTTCCAGCCTCGTGTAGCAATGTATAATGCAAATTGTGACAGGACTTTAAGAAAAGGTCGTTTTCAAGATGTACAAAGCCTTTTTTTTTTTTGAAATGATGGAAAGCTTCACAAAGAGTGTTCTGCACTGAGGAGTACCTTGGAAGGTGGGGTTTTTAAGCATTGCAATTGGTCTTTAAATTTGACACAATTTGTTAGTACCACATATGTAGAAGTAGTCTCTCCAAAATCAAACCGTATTTAAGGCTTCTGGTCCTGAAAGACAACCTGTTCATGACAGGAAATAGTGAATTATAGAAGCTGTTTAAGACTCAAGTCTCCTCAAACACCACACCATGTTTGGTGACACTATGCTTGAGGCCAAAATAGCAAGTGCCTTCTCCACCCTACCCCACCCCACCCCACCCCCACTCCCAGAGGGCGAGGTCTACATACTATGCTACAGAGAATGTGTTGGTGAGCCAGATTGCATCCTCCAAAGTACAAATGTAGGTCAATTTTTTCAGACACCTTTCATCAAATTCTAAAATAAGTTTTGGCTCCATCCAAATCTACCTTCTTGTTGTTCCTCCTCATCTTCATCAAACTGTACATCCGGAGTTTCAACCCTAATTATAGACTTGTTCAACAAACGAAATGCTTCTTTGACATGCTTGGGTTGAACCTGCCATAAAAAAGGGAACATACAAAGTCATGTAAAAATGTCTGTTTCTGCTTTGATGAAAAGCAGAAAGACATTCATTCAAAGACAAGAGATTTGATTAAAAAATCCTGGAAATTTGAATTGTTTACTCAGGAAATTGAGACAAATATCAACTTCTGCTACAAATATCAGTTCAAATTAGTTTGTAGCTTAGGTTGTTTAACCCATTACACCCTAATATCAGTAAGCATATTCTCCATACTGTTCTCTATACATTTCTTAAGGTGCTAACAAGGAGATTATGTTTAACAATCAAGAACTCCTTTTACTGGTGATCATTTATTTTGTTCTAGTAAGATTTAAAATGTTTGATTCATGGGTAATAATCTTAAAAGAAATTAGATGCAATTCACTCTTAGGGGTTAACCCTTTAACTACCAGACAATATCTGTACATTATCCAGCCAACAGGTAACAAGAATTCTCAGAATTATCAGGAAGAAGTATGTTATCTTGATCTAACACCAAATTCTCATAATTTTTTAACAAGGAAATGGGTACCAGTTAGAGGGGAGAATTAACAATCAGATCTTGGGAGTTTAAGGGTTAAAGGGTTAAAGTTTTATTCTTCTTCACCTCATCCTGACAGTAAAGCCTGGCCATGGCTTCAGAGAGACGAATCATGCTCTCTAACTGTCGTACTGTAATGCGCCACGCTGACCTTGCAAAGCCTATTAACATTGAAAATAGAACAAAATAATTGGTACAAAAATACTCTGTACTCAAGCCAAGTGGTCCTTGCATGTGGAGCTTGTCTTAGTTTGCATAACATGACTGACTGGTTCACTGACTGACCAGTAATTCATTTGCTTAATTTACTGATAGATTACTTCATTGAGTTAAACATAAAGATGGCTTTCATTTAACTTTGAATTTAGAGGATCAGTTACAATATTTTGACCTAAATGTGAGTAAAATTAAAGACAATAAACACAACATCAAGATCTACCAATCACATGAACAAAGAGCAGATTGATGTACATTAGCAAGAAGGTATCAGGGCAATTAGCAAAAAAGGCAATAAGTTATCACCAACTCTTACTCGTGTCTCGTTCTCGTAGATGTTTATACTGTTCAACAATGAAATCCTGTGCATCTTTGCTGATCTAATGGGAAACATTCTCCATCAGTAAATGTTACCATGCAGAAACAAACATACTTTAAATTTTCTTAGGTTGAAGGCCATCAATAAAATGAATTTAAGAAAGTAAATGAAACTTATAAAACATGTTTTGACAGTTCTTCTGCCATCTTCAGTTCTGAATTTACAAAGTACAAAGTTGAATTTAAAGTGTGTAACAAAATGCTGATTGGATTTGTTACAGAACTGCTGTTATCAAGACCTTTCAGCAATACAATCAATAAAAATATTAAATTTTTATTTCTTGTCATTTTTCTGAGGCTGACATTCGCTTCTGAGAGTCTCTTTCCCATCCCATTAGATCACTATATATTATTCAGAGCAACCTCATAACATTGTGTTAGGTTTACCCTTAGTGGGTTTTCATTCACTGATGAACTAGATATACAACCAATGGAGGAACTTGATATGAATCAATTACAACATAACTTTAATGCCAAGACTTACTGTCGGTTTAAACTGCCTGGCAAATGTTATGTATCTCTGAACTTCATCCTATGGAAAAACGAACACAATTTGTTGATTAAAATTGAGGTCATGAACGAGTCTGAATACATTACTTATACTTTAGTGTTTATGGTCTAAAGCTAAATTGAGTTGTAACACCATTGAAAAACTGTTTTCTCCCGTTCCTTTTGGAAACAGTTGTTCAAACTAGATGCTGCATGATATCAAGCCTCCAAAATCACTTGCCAGCCACATCATTTATTTCAAACATAAGGAAAACTGAAAAAAGGTTTTCTCTTTTTTTTTGATGACAGCAAATTTTAGCATTACTGACAATCACTTTCTATTTTTAGGTTTTCTCAACTAAAACATCACACCCCAAATGGACAAAAAAAGACACCTACCACACTGTAAGTCCTCTCCACAGCCTCCCCAAGCCGGCTGTGAAGATCAACGATTCTACGAGCAATGGCATAGTCTGTTACCTGTAAAGAGAAAAATTGGCAAAATGAAAGTTGTCCAATAAATTATTGCCATGCATGTTTTCTTCATGTGATACACTTCCAAACACATTTGCTGGAACAACTTCTGCCTCCCTCAAGGTTCAGGTCTGCAAGATGGTATGGACATAATGGCCATCAACAACATTGGAGAGGGGTGAAGGACCATCATAGATTTTGTTCTCAAGAAGTGTTCCAACCAGTTCTGTATAGGAGTGTAGTTTTGAGCATGTAGTGATAAATCAGAGAATTCTTTTCTTTCTTTTGTTCCCTTCATTTGTTTGGTCAGTGGTATATTCAAGGGCAAGGTAAAGAGAAGTAAAGGTTTTGAAATTCCAACTTTAAAAAAAAACAATTTATTAAAGATTAGCTTTACCTCATTGCAGTCATCAACAAGTATGAAGAACAGGTCAAATCTTGACATAATGGGTGCAGACATGTTCAGATTGTGCTGCAAATTAAAAATCAATTTCACAAATCAATATCCTCAAAAGGCAACTTCATGATGTTGTTGATGAGAATTATAGTTGAGAACTCTTTGATTGAGTATTGCTGAACTAAACCAAAGATAATAATTATGGCCAATCAGAACAAAATGTTCATATTGAGACAAAGGATCTCAGTGCTTGCCACAAATAACATTGACAAATCCACACCACAGTCAATCATACTTACAAGAGAGTGTTTTTCTCTTACCTTGAGTGACTTTGTTCTGTCATATCGCCCACCAATGGGGTTGGCTGCTGCCAGAATAGAAGTTCTTGCATTCAATGAGGCCTGAAATATAATATTTACCAAGTATTTACATGTAGCTCCAAAGGGTGCATTATGGGAGGGGAGAGGTAAAACTAGAAACCTCTTAGGGGGAAGGGGGTTCTCTGACATGTTCGGGCATTC